AGAGAGATGGAATAAAATGATGATTCAAACTGGAAATGTCATGGTTCATAGCCCACGTGTTAACTCACAAGAGGATGGTTTTTAAGACAACACAGTTAAAGGCATTCAGCTGCCAGAACACAGCAACACTTACTGTGTAAAAAGCAGTGTGAGCTCTTAGAAGAGGGTGACAACTCTGTTTACCTGTTAACTTTTACCTGTTTGTCCTGTTGTTTGGGAAGGATCTCCCACTCAATCACAGCATTGGTGGGGAAAAAAGCCCATTTAGCGTTGTATTAAACTAATATGACACAATTACAAGCCCACAATCTGTCTAGCACTGCAGCAAGTCTTCCATTCAAAGCTTCATTTTCACCAGCATCATTAAAAAGTAGCTGTTGCAAAAATGCACCAATTCCACAAAATCGTGGACACAAGAAGTTTTTTAAGTTCTTTTCCTAAAGTATAATAGCTTACGGTATAAAGTGATTGTTTCCTCAGTGGCTGTCTGTATACCCACCATCGTAATTACTGTAATGATGTCTGATTAGTGTTACTAGCACGGCCGAAGCTGACGGAAGAATTCTTCCCTGCTCGGCCTCGTCAGCAAAGGATGATCAACAGTTTGGTCTTTAAATAGATGTGAAAGTCAGAGGCTAAAGAAAGGCTGCCATAAAAAACAATCAAGAGAAAGACTCCATCGGGATCCAGCAGAGAGTGTGATTTCTGTGCAGTGCTACGTGTGTGTACGTGTATGGCTGCCTTTGTGAGGACCAGTTTGTTGTAGACCTTGAAAGTGAGGAGATTTGGGGAAAGTTGCTTTTTGACACATCGTCAAAGGTTTAGACCCGGATTTAAGCTTCAGGTTTAGCGTCAGGTTTGAGTTATGTTAAGGGTTGCTTCTAGGCCTTTGGGTTATGCTAGTTAAGGTTAAGTAGAGGGGATAGGCCATGCATTATGTCACCGAGTGTCCTCAGAAGGATAGACATACAGAGAGTGTGTGTGAGGATGATGATGAGCTCTTCAGAAAGTTATCAGATCTTTTAAAATTTTCCCCATCTTGATGTGTTTCATGCTCTTCTTCAGTTCATGTTCTCTCATCAGTCTGCACACAGTACTCCACAATGTCAAAGCAAAAACAAGGTTGTAAAGTGTGTGTATGTTTTTAATTAAAAGAATGAATCTTTTTTTCCATTTTGTTTGGAGCCTTTGTCATGATACACGTAATTAAGCATCCCACGTCTATCAGTGATCCTTGAAATCCCTACAGCATGATCTGTCTTTTTGAAGTCATTGGACAAAATCAGGAAATATATACACATACCAGTTAAAATAAAGTTTCCAAAGATCTGCGAGATGGGTTTTTGTTTTTTTGTCTTTTAAATGATCACTTTTCGATGTAGTTTTTGTGCTAAAGCACTGTCAGGGTGCATTTGGTTGAATTTGGTTGAAAATGAAAGAAATCTGGAACCACCAACACTCATCCTGTCAAAATCAGGAATAGGGGAAGAAGGCATTGCGTGAACAGGTAACCAATAATTCAAAGGTCATGATAATTAGGATCCAGAGTTCCTTTATGGAGATTAGATGTGTCTAAAAGAAGGGCAGCCTTTGATGATGCGTTCTAGCTGTCAGGCCTTTATGGTGGACAGACTGCTTTGTCAGATACCTGACTCTTATACTTCCGGTCTGATGAAATAAAGATTGAACTCTTAGGCCACAATTCCCAGAGCTTTGTGTGCAGGAAACCGGACACTGAGCATCGCCTAATTAATACCATTCCTACAGTCAAACACAGTAATGGCAGCAGAAGATGGATGCAAAAAACACAGAGCAATACTGAGTGAAAACCTTTTCCACAATAAGATTTCAAACTCAGGCAGAAGTTTACATCTTAGCAAGAATATAAAGCACATTACCAAGTAAACTCGGCTCTGGTGTGGGAAAGTCAACCAAAAGTCTGGACCTGAAGGAGCATCCCAGGAGACACTTGAAAACGCCTGTGCACCACTGCTTCCCGTTAAGCTTCGCTGAGCATGAGAGATTCTGTCAAAATGAAAAGGAGCTTTGGAAAAGAAAAGCATGCCAAACTTGTGGGATTATTCCCAAGAACTCATAATGCATTGCTGCAAAAGGTGATTTAGCAAAGTACTGAATCTACTGTCTGAACACGTATGTAAAAGGAGCGTTTGATTTCTAAATGATTTTGCTTCATCATTATCATGTGTTGTGTTTAAATTGGAGGGTGGATTGATTGAATGCATTAGAACATAACAGAGTGACACAAGGAGCTGAAAAATGCACATTGTAACTTGGTTTTTCCTCTTCACTCTGCAGGCTTTCCCTTGCATCTCAACTGGAATCTACGGTTAGTGCCTTCATGTGTGTGTCTCCTCTGTTCCTACACTTTGTGTTTGTGTGTCAGTTTTCTATCATTTATTTCACATTTATTGATCACCAACAACACTTCCTCTCTGCTGTCTTCATCCACTGTACACGCTGTGTGCTCTCCATCACACGCTCGTCAGTCTGCCTGTTTGACCAGAGCGCCGAGCCTCCGGGTGCCGCTTGTCAAATGATCTCCCCCGACCCAGAGGTGGTTCTCAGATTAACGCCTTGGATTAAGAGCGGCAGATTAAGATAGATTAGGCCGGAGATTGTGTTATATTGACTGTAATCCTCTTCACGCTGGCAGGAGAGAGTCAAGGATAGTGCTTAAACACACCCCAGGGTGGCTTTGCTGTGAGGGCTAGTTGTTGACACCTCTCTGTCATTGCTGGAAAGAGGAAAAGGCTAAATTCCCAGTTGACTCCAGGTTGTCTTCCTCCCTGTTCTGCTTGTTTGTCATTGTCCCGCTGTTTCTTTCCTCTTGAGTGTTTTGTAGGTCAGGGTGTTGAAGCAGTAACACAAATTATGTAACTTTAGGAGGTATAAGCAGCTTGTGTCTCTACAGACAGACGGCTGCAATTGAAAACAAATCTGCCATCTTTAAGCCATAGTTCCACACAGAAAACATACCAGCGTATGAGTATCATTTTTAAAGAATGGTCTCATATTTTAGAGCTGTAACTTAATTCCTATTAAAGCATTAACTGCTCCTCATCAGTGTTTTATACACTCTGTAATCTAACGAAATTGGGAAAAACAAATGTGCCTGGCAGGCAGTCACACTAGTAGTTTGTTGTTTGTTTGTTTTTAGTAGTAACACAGATGATGTACACCTCTTCCCAGACTTTGTACCACTATTATAGCTGCACTTTAAGGCCCTGCAAAGCTTGCTGGTGTTTCAGTCAATAAGGCTGAGCAGACCTCATTACAGCGGAGGTGAGAAGACCTCTGCTGGGAAATAAGCGAAATAGTTTACTTACTTTACTAATAAGGACGGTAAATACATTTTTGGAGGGAATATAATTGCATCCTTGATTATGTTCATTAGCAACATTTTTCTCCTCAGGTTGCCTCTTGCGTCAGATATGTGGTAAAGTAGAGATTACTAAAACACTCGAGTTAAGGTTGGAGGAAAGATTTTGGTTTTGATTAAATATTAAAAAGGGAAACGTGTTCCACGCTGTGCTTCACATCCAGTGGTGTGCAAGTTAAGCTCTGAGATTAAATCGGTGCTCGCGCTCAGTTTTTGCACTAAATTTGTGGTACCGAAATAAACCACTTAATGTTTATTTTCCTGCATTTTAATTTTATAAATGAGCTGTTTTTTCAGTAGAGCCCCCAATCTTTGAAACTCCCTAAACTGAATAAATCACTGAACTCTCCTACTGCTAAACCAGACAGATTACTTTTACATGCAAAGAAAAACAAAAGTACCAATCGAAAGCTCAGACACACCTGAGGGCAGATATGTTTCGAATTATTTGTGCGTCACAGTATCAGAACATTTTATGTTTAATAAGATAACGTGATGCACAAATGCACAAAATTACACTCTTTTGATTGTTGTACAGAGTGAGCATGAAGCCAGTGTGATAAAAAAATGTAAATTTCTTAAAATATGTTGAAAATTTATGAGAATATCAGTGATGTTTGCTTTGGAAGATCAATCGTTTAGTGGCTTTACAGGTGCGTCTGTGGTTTAGTTTTCTTCTCACTGGCTATTGATGATTCATCGCAATCGTTTATTTACTAGTAGAATAATCCAGGACCCCAATACACATATGTGGTACAATTTCCTGGATCAGCATTAGAAAGAAAGCTCAACCTACTGTGTTGTAGGTCACTGACGAATTCAGCAGATGTTGTTTTGTTTTTAAAAAATGTAGAAATCAATTAAAAATAAAGAAATGCTCTTCAATGATTGAGTGTGCCTAAGCTTTTCACTGGTATTGCATGTAAATATAAACCAATCAGTAGAAATCAGGACAGACGTAATTCAGCTCTACGGGACTTTTTATGGGCTGTTTCCACAGGATCTTACACTTTTCATGACTGATCCTTTGTGGTTATTACCAAAAACTGCCCTGATCCTTTAAGTCAATTTGACATTTCAAGTTTGGTGCTTATTATGTTGACATTGTGGCTTGTTTTTCAGACCCATATGGACACAAATTACATTAATTTGACACCCAGCAGCCACCTTGTGAATCCTGTGTTGCATCCTGTTTTGTCTGCATATCAGTCATAATTCTTTGTGCCATAGATCCAACAAGGTGCTGGAAACATTCCTCAGATGTTTTGGTCCATATTGACATGATCGTATCACACAGTTAGTGCAGATTTGTTAGGTACACGTCCATGATGTCAGTCCCTCTGTTCAATTACATCCCAAAGATGCTCTATTGGATTGAGATCGGAGAGCCCAAGCGAATTGTAGTGTGAGTTTGCTGTTCTTTGCTTGCAGGAGTTGTGGCATTTCCACCCAGAGAACTGCTGCTCACTTGATCTTTTCTCTTTTAGACCATCCTTTGAAAACTTTAGCGATGGTGGTGTGGGGAAATCTCAGTAGATCAGCAGTTTCTAATTCTAATGCTTGGTATTGAACTTCAGCAGGGTGCCTTCACCTATAAAGCTAAATGCATCGAGTCGCTGCATTTACATTGACTGATTAGATATGTGCTGAACAGATGTACCTAATAAAGTGGCTTAGTTGGCTGAGCTTTTTTTTTTCCTGTGCGAATTTGCACAGATTTGCTCAAAATCATCCTCTAATATTTAACAGCACTGCTGTAAGCTGCACATTTTCTCTGCCTCCTCCAGCACTAGCACTAGCCTTGCTGACAACCTGTGGTGCTGTTTACATCATATGCAATGAATGCGCTCAGTGGAAACTATTCAAAACAATCAGTGTGCTCAGTGAACAGCTCTGCTCACGCCATTGTATTTTTCAGTCTTTATTTCAGTATTTTATGCGTGGATGTAACATATACATTTAAAAACAGAAAAAGGAGTGAAAAAACCCGTGCAGATGGAGTGAGGCCACTTGAATTAGATGCACATGTCAATCAGTAAAATGTTTTATATAACAAGCCATAGTGGGCACATATTAACATATTATATTACATTTTCTTCAGTGCATTTGTTTCAGTGCTCTAACAAATTGTATGTTGCTAATTTGTACCGTCGCGTATTCCCCTGTGCTAACACGCTGAACCATCTCCTAATGTATAATCACATAGTGTTTGTTTGGGTTGAGCAGTTTGGCCAGATGATGAGTTTTCATTGCCTTTGTGCTGCTTTACCAGCGCTGGGTATAATTTTCCAGCAGTGAAAGGTCTCAGCTGCTCAATGAATATAGAAGAAGAAAAGCAGTCTTTCTCCATCTGTCTCCTCGTAACCAACAAGTGTGTTGTGTCTGCGTCTCGCTGGAATAACTGAGTCGGGATCAGACGACGTGAGAGGAGTCAGAACGGGGAGTGTTAGAATAGTGGAAAGAAGAACAGAAAGCACCGAAGACAACAGCACAACGCAAGCACACAGATCTCTCTCTGCACCTGTTCTCGAAAACTGTGTGTATTTTTGATGTCACTTGCGCGTGTGTGTTTGTGTTTCTGTAGGATATCCATCTGAGCGGGCTGTGCACGAGGCGTTAAAAACTGTGAGGGACTACCTCGATGCACATCATGACAAGGTGGGTATGTGTTTGTGTTTGCGCCTGCATGATTGGCAATTTTTCCCCTACCCTTTCCTCCAGGTATTATTTCTCTCACAGCTGTTGTTTTTGTTTTTGGGCGATACGAGGAAAAGGGTGCATTGAGAAAACACACACAATCAGACACACAAAAAATATTTTTGAACACACACCCAAGTTCTGCCTCTCTCATGCTCATGGCCAAGTCTGCGTTTTAATTGGCTCCTTGCGGGACCAAACCCGACTAACACAAACACACAGGCACGCACACACTTTCTCTCTCAGGAGAAACGCCAAGCGGAGAAAAGACAAAATGATGGAATAGATGACTGGAGGGGAGGGACGGAGGAAGAGATTGGAAAAGGCGGAAACTTTCCAATCAGTCATTGACAAGCCCTAAACTCTCCTCCCTTTTTCCCCTCCTTTACTTCTCTGGTCTCCTCCCACTTCTCTTTTTCCATCTTTGAAGCCTCGCTGTTACCGCCGTCCTGCACGGCCTCCCAGAGAGGGTGCTGATGATGTTATTGTTAGCTCTGACATCTCCAGAGTCTCTGTAGCAATATCGGTCGACTGATGCCATCAGCCGCTCTGTGCATAGCAAATGAACTCAAATCATTGCATTTCTCACCAGACTGGACAACAGACAGCAAGCCTCGAATGTCAGTAAATAAGACCAGAAGGCCAAATCAACAAAATTATTTATATTCTGCCCACAACTACTTCCACTCTGCTTTTAAGGGAAAAAAAAATATTGAAGGCGACCACATAAATATAAAGAGAGAATGTTTACCAGAGGAAATTGGGTTTATTCATTAATTGAAAAGTTTTATGGGGTTTTGTCGAGCGTGTTCTGGCTCTGAGCGCTTTAATGTTGAAATGAAATTGAAAACTGCAAACATAGTAAGGTGCAAAATGGACTCAAGACACAGGTCAGTATGCCTACATTCTGCATCAAATGTAATAAAAATCGAATCATTTATGTGCAGAAAACATACCAGTTTTAAAATGTAACTGCTGTTGTTGTTGTTGTTTTGTTTTTTGGGGGACCGGGGGGGTCTCGAATTAGACTCAGAGTCAAATAGAGAGTCTCATCAAATCCTTTTAGCAGCTCTTCTGGCTTTTTATTCATAATCACGAGCTTCTTCAGCAGATTGAGCTTTTTAGTTGCATTGAGCTGCAAAGCCCCACCCTACTCTTACAATTTAATTACACTTCTGCATTATGTCTATGGGGTAACTTGCGTCATAGCTGGAACCCCATTTTAACCCTACCCCGCAATCTTCTGCATAACCTGACGTGCACCTCGCTAGAAATGTAACCACGCGTTGGGTTGGGATCAAAGGAGCTTCCGGTTACTGCACAAGTTAGGATGTAAATTTCCCACAGAAGTCTAAATTAAACGTTAGCAGCAGTGTGTGATACTGCAAAACCAAGTAAATACAGAACCAATATCACTGATATTTTTAAACTCTAAAGGCGGCTTATGTACAGCAGAGCAGTACAAGATGATTTATGAATTTAATGTACCAAACTTGGAGAGAAACATATTAAAGTATCAGTCCTATCACATCATTAGGGATCCAATGTCAATGTTGGCATCAATACAATCGATCTGCTCTCCCCTAACTCTTGGGGTGTCGTCACACCTGTAACGGTTTTTAATCTGTTCAAATCAAATTATTCCCCCACTTGGTGCCGTTTGTTTCTGCAGCTGTAAACACAGCAATCACATTCAGACACAGACCAAAACAACAACGTTCTGGTTAAAGTTGGTCTCATTATAAATGACTTCAAAGTGGTTCCTTTATGGACATGGTCCAGTCCAACTACCAAGTGTACACTGCAGGCTTCAACACCTTCCTCTAGCTGGGTTTGCTTTGCATTCTGGGAATAAGCAGTACCACAGATGTACTGTAGCAACTAGCCTCCTACATACAGTTATATGCCCAGGTAAATATAAACGCTAGGAGAAAACTCTTCACGTTATCTACTACTCCAGGACCCAGCACCTTCTCTCTGTGTTTATTTTTGATGCTCGCACTGCTGACGCATCTTGCCAGTAAGCAGACTGAGCATTCTCACGCGGTTTATAGTGACACGTTTTGGTCCTCCATGTGGAAAGAAACCTAACCAAATGAAAAATCTAAAAGTTTACAAGCTCATCAACTGATCGGTATAGCTTTACATTCTCTTAAGTGTGCAATACTTTCATGGACTGTATATCAAAGAAGCCACTCATTGGTTTCTGGTCACCTCTGTACTATTTTGTTGAACAACTTATCTTCTAACACTCTGAGTTGGTGAGCAAACTCCATCCAAAAACTTTACAGAAAGACATATCTGCTAATTGGTGCTAAATAACAGACTAATAAAAGGAAACGGTAGAACTCACTAAAAGTAAAGCACAAATGTTTTGAAGAGACTGCACCATGCTGGTCCAAAAGGGGAGCCTTGATGTACAAATTCTCTCTTGTTAACCACAGTTAGCCAATTTTTAAAATATTTTTTAAAGCAGATCAAACGCAGCTTGGTGTGAATGAACAATCATTTTCAGGATGAGGTTTGGCTAATGATCAGTGTGACTTTCAATCTCATCTGTTAAGCAGTATGAAATCCTAAAACTCTAAATTAATAATTTGACTAGTTCCACAATTGCATTATTTCTGGACAAGTTGCGCTATGACTGAAAATCTACTAAATAGACATCGTGGTGAGAATATTGTTTTAGTTGCTGTCGAGCCTGAAGTAAAGCTGAAAAGCACAGTATTATATATATTTTTAGATGCGTCGTTTGTTAAAGGATATGCATTTTCACAAGAGCACAAAGACTAATGTAATTTCCACAACAGTTGACAGGTTTTCTGTTTGAGAGGGGAATATTTACAGGTTGTGTAACGTGTTTCCATTAACAACAGGCTGTTCTCATAGAGCCATTTACAGTGACTTGCTGTTATTGTTAGCATTAGCATCTCTAGGCTCGCTGCTGCAGTAGTGTGAGAATTAGTTCCCACTTCTACAGTTTTCAAGTGGAGCCACCTTCATGTGGAGGTTAGAAATTTCAAACCTTAGCCTAGGGGATCTAGTTAAATTTCCATATCTTCCCTTTTAGCTTCCATGCAAATCCTGGTGAGTGATGGTAATTGTACAGCAAGCCGGGGCTGAAAAACATGGGCTGCAGGCTAGCATGCTGCTGAAATGTCTCTTTGAAAGCACTGAGACTTAAACTCCCACACCAGGCCGAAAGAGATGGAAACAGCCTGGCTATAAATTGCACTGCCTCACCCAAAACAGAGAAATCAAAACCTTTGTAGAGACATTAGGGTGGTAATAATGTTTGTCAGAGTCAGAGCAGAGTAGAGGTTATATCCCTAGAAGCATCGTTTTACTGTAGCTAAAGTAACTTTAATCATTACAGGCTACATCCACAGTGTGTACTGTACTCTGTCCAGATATACAGAGCATAATATAAATATTATAGACTGCAGAGCTGGGGTCTAAACAACATAGGAGCTCGGAGCATAAAGATTCTTTGTCATAAACTAGCTGCACACTCTCAGCCAATGTCTTAATATTGTTTGAAAGCTACTGTATTATGTTTATGGCTCTGTGTGTGTGTGTGTGTGTGTGTGATGATCTCTCTAACCCCTTTATTTCTGCCTCTGTCTTTTTGTCTTTCTCTTTATCACACACATACCCACTCTTTCCCTCTCTTTGCACATTTTCAGCACTCTGTCCCCAGCACACAGAGTAATAAGCGCCTTGTCGTGGCATTATCATAATAGGGAGCTAATAGTGGAGTAATGGACTGATGCATTAGTGGCATTCTCCTGATATTGCCGCCGCACAGTGTCACACATTTTTACATTGTTCCCTGCTGCAACTGATGGATTCAGAGTTATTGCATATGCTTGCAATAAAGGTCATTTTGTGTGTGTGTGTGTGTGTGTGTGTGTGTCTGTCAGCTGGACAGAGTCATCTTCTGCGTGTTCTTGCCGAAGGATCAGAAGCTGTATGAGGAGAACCTGCCACTCTACTTTCCTGCTGGTGAGTTTCCTTCATATATATGTGCAGCTACACGTATCAGCAACAACATTAAAACCAGTGACAGATGAAGTGAGGAATACATAATGCAATGTGTTGGGAAACCATGGCTCCTGACATATATACAGGATCGGGATCACACATACAAAAAATAGCCATATATTAATGCAACCAAACAGCTTTTAACATTGATTGATTTTGAGAGGTGTTCCAGGCTGATGTGTAAATGGCTCTGTGAGAGAACAAGTATAGGGAGGGAGCAGCATGTGTTCAGGGCCTGCAGAGAGAAGGAAAATCCATCCATCCATGAGCTTGTGTTAGTTTGTTCTTATATACATATAGCATTTTAGCCCCAGAAAACCAAGATGGATGCAGTGAGATTGGTATAAAATAGCTATGAATGAGTCCTGAACTCTAGAAATGAGTTAACATTTTGCACTTGACTCATGTCAAGTTTTTTTAGACTTCAGTCAGACAGCCCTAAAGATTTGTCAGCGACCCCTAGGAACCACAGGTCACTAGGGAAAAATGTATATTCCACGACTGGTTGGTGAGTGGTTGATGCTTGTCAAAACACTGACTTGGTGGGAGTGAAATTTAAAGGAACTGCGATACAAACAGCAGATGGGAAGTAACAAAGTGCAAATGCTTTGGTTCTGTACTTAGTAGAATTTTCAGGTATCTGTATTTTACTTGAGTATTTATTTTCCTGACAGCTTGTCTTTGTCTAGCTGGAAAAAACAACTAAACCCTTTGTTTGTATGACACGCCATATTGAAATTATATTTTTTAAAGAAAACATTTTTTTAATTGCAAAAATGTATGAATAAACTCAAGTACAGTCAAAGGCTAAAGTCAAATAAAATAAGATATATATGCGAGCTTAAGGCATAAATAATGTACCTTTGTCTTCTTGGAAGACTTTCTGATGTTAATTGGAGGCAAGTTTTTGTTCTGCTGAAAACAGACATTATGATTGTGTAGACATTAATTAATATTAATGATGATTCAGTGTCCAGTGTAACAGCCCTCGGGGTCAGTGGCTCAGCGTTTAATAGCACTTGTATATTTTTATTGGTTTGTGTTTTTTTTCTGTTTATAAATATTAATGCAATTTAATTAATAAAACATTTGATATTATGTCACTCAGGGGTTTTCCTGAGTGGACATCAGCGGGGTGGGAGGAGGTGTGTGTGTGTGTGTGTGTGTCTGACATCATAACAATCAGATTCAGTGTTAAACCATCATGTTTCAGTCGGTGCAGCTTTAACTTTTGGTTTGTGTCGCACTTTTTTATAATTTCACTACCACTCAGCGAGCAGTTTTTCGAGGGTTTGCAGACAAGTGGAGATCTTCCATGCAAACTATCGGCGATGCACACCCGCCAGTAACCACAGCAATCAAAAAGAGGCATTTAGCGTAGCTCTTTGCAGCTATTTTCACCTGGTGACAGCTGGCAACCTACAGCAACCACTAACCGCTTGGGATTACACACTTTCTCCTAGCAACATGTGTTTTCCAGGTCATCAGTAACCACTGCCTAGGCCTGCATGAATGGAATCTTAGATGCATAGCATAAAGTCGTTGGTCAACACTCGCTTTGGTCATTTTTATGATTTGTTCGATAGTAGTTTCAAAATTCATAAACAGGTGCGTAAGAGTGTTTAAAGAGATCGATTATAACTTCTTGTACTCTGTCTTATTCACCATTATTTTATTAAATCACAACGTTTTGGTCCAACTGACCTTCATTAGATAGAAATTGTGGCAATCATTTGTTCAATAACAAAAAAATAAATGCCCCACTTGCAAATTTTAAGCTTTATGTGTGCTAGAGAAAGCAGGTGGTTAATAAGTGGCTAAATAAGAGTAAGTCGTTGAAGACATTCAGCATCATCACATTAACCATTTCCCCCATAAAGACAACATTTGACGACCTCCCCGGTACCCTTAATGACGAGCCTTGACACCTCATTATATATCAATAAAGACACGGTTTGACCATTAGAATAGTTTCTGGGTTTTTCCGAGGGTAGCCGCAGAGGCGGAGACCACCCTCACTGACCTGCAAACCCAGGCATTTTCTTCTAGAAGCAGAAATATGACAGAAAGCACTCAAGTCAGAAAAAACATTGCAAAGGTTACTCCTAGTGGACTTTCAAGGGGTATAGAGTTAAACACAGGAACTTGATTTTGGTCACACAGTCTTGATTTATAGCCTAACATTATTGTGGTGAGCTACTTTCTTTTGCATTTAAGTTTCAAAAATCACAAAAAAGGGTGTCAGTTTGTAGAGATATGCTGAACCAGACATGGTGGCATTAAAGCTTTCCCACAGAGCCTTTTTTTCTGATACTCGTAAAAAAAGAAAAGCCTATTGATAACTCCCACTGGCATTTTGTCAAAGCAACCAAGATGATGCCCGCTTTCAGTTTTTTGCCCTATAAAAAGCATAGTCAGTGTGGCACTTTATGGATAACACGCAGGTTGTACTTTCATTTCTGATCACATGAGTCACCTGGAATATGAATGACTGTTACAAACAATCTCTACGCTCATGAGCTGTCTTATTATAAAAGTTCTCACTGTTGAGCTTCCTTTTAACAGGAAGGACCTTGAGAGTAATGGCAGTGTGTGAGTGTGTGTGTGTGTGTCCTGCAGCTTCTTTGTTTTGTATTTGATACAAACATGTCTTTTCAATCTGTATCCTGCCTTCATTTCTTCGTCCACCACTTTAGCCTGACCTGTGGCAGCGACCCGTTGTTCAGGTAACCATCGTGGTGTTGTGCGTCAACATGTGTGGTTTCTTCTATCAACTTAACTGCATTCAGTCTGTTTGTCGACACGCAGTCTTAACCCCAGTGCAAAATGTAAATTACGTGTCACGGAGGGGAAACTCTGACATTTCCTTCAACCGGCACTCGTCCCATTTTGCAAATAAATTGCTCATATTTAGACCTCAGTTAAATGAAAATGGCATTCTGTGCATTCCTGAGTACAACGGCTGGCCTCAAGCTAGTTAGTGTTCGAAATGATGCAAGCAGAAAAGAAATGGGCTTTGTTTTTTTTTGGTTTTTTCCTGCAGTGGTGAAAAGGGTCTGATTTAAATGAAAAATAACAACCACTTTTTAAGCCTCCAAGGTGCCTTCTTGAGTCATGCCTCACCTGCTTTCCAAAACAGACTGAAAGGAAAGTGTTGTGCCATCGCTACAGATTGATCTATTTGGTTAAACGAAGTTTTGTAAATAAGTAAAATGTATTTAATGTTATGTTGGCTTTAGCTGTGACATGATGACTTTACCCATTTGTTTTGATTACACTTGTGATTTATGGTGTTATATTGCCAAGCAGTCTGGCTCCTAAGCATGATCAGTCATTCACTCAATTATTCAAATTAAGCATCGGTATTACAACTGCAGCCTTAACCCCTAATGTCTTGCTTTACCGCTGCTATAAATCAAACTCACCTCTTGCCTTCGGAACATTTTGAGAGAGAGGTCTTAACAGTCGTATGCTTTCTGGTTTTGTAATTTTTAATGGGTGTTATGTGGCTTGGGACGCAGGTGCTACCAAAGCTGCTGAAAAGAAATCCAACAAATTATCAACCGCAGGTCCTTTGTACGAGTGAAGCCGTGCTTTTGGGTTTGACAGAATTGAAATTTAAATGAGAGCTTCAGATGGAGCCGGGTCACTCTAACACTCATAATAGAGATGCATGGCAGAAATATTAGTGAAATTAACTGAAATCAGGCAAACTTAATCACCACAGAAAAAAGTGAACCAGAGCAGGATTGCAGTGTTTAATTTTAAATGAAAATGAGACCATGAAATTGTCTCAGCGCAGGAAAGTCAAAGCACAGAAATGCTGCTGGCGCTGGAATATATCACCCTTTGTAACATTAATATGCGTTCTGCAGTTCAACAGTTCAAGAAAACATACAGCATGCATGTCATTTAACATTGTTTTCTCACCTTTGAGTGCTTTTAGACGTGTTGGCAGCAGCAGAGTTCTACATAAAGAAACAAATGTAGACACAGAGAGAGTTTTTCTGTTTTTCACAAACATAGCCTGACAGCCAAGGCGTTAAAGAGGAGTGGGAGAGAGAAGAGAAGAAGCCTGCTTAACCTAAGAGGAGAATCCAATCAACACTGCAGCCTTATCTCTTATATGAACTCACACACCGGGTCAAGAGTCTTAATCTTTTTTAAAATCTTTTTTTGTGAACAGATTTGACCACTAGCCCCCCGAATCTGAAAGGATTTTTCATTTATTACAGTTCAAGGAGGATCAATTGCTAAAAATAATGAGATCTCAAAATGTGATGAACTGCTTTTTATAAGCATTCACTGGCCACTTCATTAGGTACCCGTTGCAAGCACTGGATTGAACCCTTGCTTTCGTTCTTGGGAGCATAGCGTGAACAAGGTGTTGGAAACACTGCTCAGAGATGACGTCACACAGTTGCTGCAGATTTCTTAGATGCACATTGATGACACATATCTCCTTTTCCATAACATCTTAATGATGCTGTATTGGATTGATATCTGGTGGCTGTGGAGGCCATTTGAGTACAGTCATTGCTATGTTCAAGAAGCCTGTTTGAGGTGATTTCAGCTATATGACATGACACGTCCTGCTGCATCAGAAGCCATCAGAAGATGAACTCAAAGTGCTTTCTGCTGCTGTCTAAGTCTCATTCACCTAAGCATTCATACAACAATTTTATCTGAGCCTAAGCTCTTTCTATTGTTCACACATGTTCACACTCCAGTTGATGTACTGCAACTCTGGGCTTCATATCTTGCCAAGGATACTGTAGCATTGTGACTGCAGGAGTCAGGGATCAGGGAGCAATGCTTGGGCAGACTGTGATATTTGAATGGCACTCATTCTATACTAAGGGGCCCTGCACACCTTTACACCACCAACAACAGCCTGGAAACCAGGATGGATACACGATTTAATGTTGTTTTTGAGCCTACCATGTAAATTTTACAGAAGAAATCAAGAATCATCAAGCATGACAAATTTCGGTGAGCTCATGTGAATTGTAGCATCAGTTTCCTGTTCCTATTTGACAGGAGTGGCACCCGGTGTGGTCTTCTGCTGCTGTAGCGCATCCATTATGGGTTCAGAGATGCTCTTCCGCACGCCTTGGTTGTAACAAGCGGTTATTTGAGTTACTGCTGCCTCAAAACCATTATTCTCCTCTGACATCTGGTATTAACAAGACATTTTCTGCCAGAGAACTGCTGCTCACTGGATATTATCTTAACTTCAAACCCCTCTCTTTGAACACTAGAGATGGTTGTGTGGGAAAATCCCAGCAGATCAGCAGTTTCTAAAATACTCAGACCAACCTCAAAACCCTGCTACGCTCAGTGACTTGAATCACCTTTCTTCCCCATTCTAATGCTCAGTTTGACCTTAGCAGGGTCTCTACATGCCCAACTGCACTGAGTTGCTGCCATATGATCAGCTAACTATCTATCTATTTATGTCAACCCTCAGTTAAACAGGTATACCTAATAAAGTGTCCGGGGAATGTAGATACAAAATATACAAAAAACAATGTATTTGCAGATAAAAGGGGAAGCAGAAGTGGATACTTCCTGCTAAAACATTTAATGCGCAGGTGTGAGTTTATTTTGAGAGAATCCCACATACGCCCTTACGCTGACTAATACCCAGTAGAGCATCATCAGTGCATTTATCCACTGCTGAAAATGGTACCCAATAAACAAACTATTTATTCTTGTTCGAGTAACGTTTGCTAAAAAGCTGTTATACATTGCCTTTAAAAGTAAAACCACAAGACTAGATATATATGACTATAACAGGCAGTGAACAGTAGTCAGAGTACTGAGCAAAAAGCACCGACCTTCCGCCTCAGCTACCTATGTAGAAAAAATAAGCTACAAGGTAAAATCACAGCAGCCCTTTATTTCTGTTTGGCCGGAAGGAAAATGTATTTTTATGTCTAAATCCAGTTTGTCATCAGTTTGTGGATATGTTTAGAGAGACGTTTAGTCATCAGCCACAACAAATCAAGGCAGAAACTCCAGTTCACTTCAGGCCAGTTTCGAAAATGAGTCAGTTCTCATCGACTCCTGTTTAAAATAAATAAATAAATAAAAACTGTTCTGCCTAAAAAAGGAGCAAAAAATTTTTTGGTCATTGTAGCTTTGAGAAACAAGTAGGTGCAACAAAAGTGGCTGAAGGCACTGTCTTATAGCGATCACTTTTAAACCAATTGTTTTATTTTGGAGCATTTTAATGCAGTTATCTGACAAATAATATAGCCTGCCCAAGTATTTTATTTCAAAGCTAGCACTTTTTTAGCATGTATCTCTTTGTTTGGATGCACCATTCTGATGAAGTTTGCTACCATTAGCTTGTGGCTCAAATATAAAACATGACAGCAGCAGAAACTCAGAGTTTAAAAAGAAAACTCCACAAAGTAGTGGTGAATATTTTTATTTGCAGTCTGTGCACCAGCTGTTTTTCTCCCTGAGTAGCTAAATATTCTGCTAAAATACCAGACGAAAGAACAAAAATGGATAAAGACTGAATACGCGATTCATATTTTCCAAATATTTTCCATTTTTTTTCCTGCAAATTGACATCTGCCCACCTACATTTTCACTATGATGACCTTGTGAGGTCAAATTATATCACTGTGCTGTTTACAGCTTGTTTCTCTACCCACAACTGGCCAACAAATATGTAGTTATTGCTTTACAGGCTAAGTGTTAAAGAATGATCAGTGCGCACAGCTCAGAGCATTAGACGCTGTTTTTTCTTCCTATTTCTTTTAGCAGTAGCTTCCACTCAGCAAGCCAAAGTCTCAAACTGCGGCACAGCCGGTCAGATGCCTGAACCATGAAATCAGCACTTTCACATCTTCACCCTGGGTCAGCTGACCGAAGAGGTTATTTTCCCCCAAAAAATCCAGGTGTGCCCCTTTAAAAAAAGTCTGAGCGAGCTGCTGGCGTCTTTCTCCTCTAATGGATGTGCAGCAGATTTGGTAGCAGTAGTGGTGCTTGGCTGTTAGATGGACCGGAACTGTCTGTCTGTGTGACAGAGCTGCTGCAGGCAGGCCTCCAAGTCTCCACTATAAACCTTATGTGTCTCCAACACCTGGCACTACCTACGCTGGCTGTCTGTCTGATGTGTATGATTGTGTGTGTTTGCATGTTTTGAGTGCGTCCTTAGCCATGTTGGGCTGAGAGTGACTAATCCTCGCTAACAGATCCCTCTGAAGCAACCAGACGCTCCAGAAGCCAAAATGCTTTTAACCGCTGCATGACCAAGGTAAAATGTTCCCCCCACCGTGTTTTACATGTTTCCATTTCCTCTCTCCCTCTCTCTCTGTCTGCTCCCACAGAGGCCACAGTCAAGAGCAAACTCTAAGAGAGTGGATTTGTCAGATTTGGTTGCCGTGGATACACACCGCTACACTCACATCCAGATTCTTTCTCCTCCTCCTCCTCCTCCTGTTTGCCATTGACGCAGATCAAGACCATCTTCATCAGGAAGATAAGTTGCAAATGGGTGATTGCCTTTTTGAAGTGCTACGGTTCTCCTGCAGATGTTGTCGGAGGAGGTGGTTTTCTTTTTCTCACTTCTTCCCACTAATGGCTGAGGTTAGGAGCGGTGTTATGATGACTGTGTGAAATGAGGCAGATAATTCTTATGAAAAATGGACTGCGCGTACTCGTAAGCTTCACTCTACCTGTGATCAGCGGCAGCTTCGCATCAGGCTTACG